GGGAGACAGGCTTGCACCCCTCCAAGCGCAGGCTTCTCCTGGCCCTGTCCCGAGAGCATCCCCAGGCACATGTCAGCCCTGCCCCTTCTGGGGTCTCCCAGGGGAGCAGGCCCAGCAGAAATGGGAAGGGGCTGGCCGGGTCCTCTAAGCAGAGAGGAGGGAGGGGGTGGCTCACCTACTTACCAGCAGCTCAGCGCCCGCCCGCCGTGGACAAGAGGGAGCCTGAGAGGAGGACGAGGGACGGCTCAAGGCTGCAGCATGAGTGTGGCTTGCCTGAGCTGTCCCGGTATTTAAACTATCCCGGGCATGAGTCACTGCAGAGGGCAGTGTCGGCCCTGGGAGGGGGGACTGTGGGCCACAGTGCAGCGCCTGGATGTCCTGGGCTGGCACTACAGGGGACACACAGCTGGCATCCCTCAATGTAAGGGGTTTGCTTCAGCTGTGTTTAAAAGCTCAGGACACGTTTTCCTCTTTCTTTCTTTCCCCCGGTGTTTCACTGCTTTGGCTGCTGTGAGAGGGGAGTTTACAACGACCCCGTAGCCCCCTCCCTAAGTGACTGTGGACCGCTGCTGCCCTGCCCCGCCCAAGGAGACACGGACAAGGACCCCGAGAGAGGCATGGGGCAGGATTCAAGGGAGTTTCTTTGCTCCTGGAAGTATTGGCAACTGCTTCTCCCTGTGGTTCTAGAAAACTCATGTATTCTTCTATTTCTTTTTTATTTTAAACTTTTCATTTGGCTTTAAATTTACAGACAATTAACATGATTCACCTGTTGTTAGCATTTTGGAAGAAGCGTTTATCTTAGATTCCAAGGAAAAATATAATTATGACCACCGTGTCCCCTTTAAAAACAGCATTTCTGATTTCCTTGCGATGCTGGGGTCTGTGCCATTACTGCTGCTCTGAGAGGTGCAGGCACACACATCTCTGGCTTGGGGACGGGCAGTCAAGGGGCCTATCTGGGCGTGCGGAGCTTCCCTATGCCCCTCACCTCTGCATTACAGCCCACACCCTGCCGCCTCTGTCTGCCCCCTTCCCTAGTGGGGACAACACTGTTTCTATTTGTGGTATCCCCAAAAGGGCCTGGGGAAGAGAATACAGGAGTCGTAGTTGGAGGGGTGGGGAGGCTTCCAAACCCCAGCTTCTCCTCTGAGACGGAGCCTCAACAAGGCCTGCGCTGCCCCCGGCTGAAGCCGGCCTGCCCTCGCCTGGCTCAGTTTACCCTCTCAGTTAAGTGGGGAGAGTGATATTTACACACAGTGCCTCATGGAGTGCCAAGAGGCTTAATTAATATTTGCGCTGTGCTTTGAGATCTGCGATGAAAGGAAGATATAAAAGTGCATAGTGTTATTACTGAAATAGTTGCTTGGGTGGCTTGCCATGGTCAAGGCCTACAGCCTGAATCATGCCACATTCCTCCTCACCGTGGCACCGTGATTCAGAGTCAGAAACAAAAAGTGTCTGTCCATTAAATAACAGGAGCCCAGGAGGGGCAGGCACTGCTTGGAGTGGCTCCACACAGCTTGCGGCTCCATCCCTTCACCCACCAGCCTTGCTCCCACCTGGAGAACACCTGTCCTCTTACAGCCCTGGTCCCTC